AATTTTGATCATCTCACCGGTATTCAGATTCTAAAAAACATTTTGGAAAGAGTTAATGTTTGCAAATCTAATCTGGCTGCACTGTTTTGCAGAGCAACAGATTTTTTGGGGGAAATGCTTCCCTCAAACGTTTTTGAACCAATAACATATTAATGCTGTATTGATGACCAGGTTATTAACATGACTTCAGCTTGTCTTAATTCAGTAAAGGATGTATTGATTAGACAATGTAAAAGGTACTTCTCCTTTTTCATTACAGAGACACTTAAGCAGGAAGCAGCTAGTGCAAGGTTTCACAATATAGATAGTGAAGAGTTAATTGGTATGTTTAGTGAATCTAAGGGAAGATTCCCTAATACAACAATTTTATATAATTCTTGAATGTAAAGGAATAAGTGAATGTAAAGGAAGATCCTCTAATGCAACAACTTGTTATATTTCTTGCAAAATAAGATGAAAAAAGAATAGGACTATTTATTATCTTGATAGTTTAGATTACTAACTAAGTAAGAAAATGTAATTAATGGTCCATTTTCTACAACATGCTCAAATTCGATCTGCATTATAGAGACAGACATGCAAGCATCAAATGTTGGATGAACAAGATAAAAAGAAATTATAACAAAAACTTAAGTTAATGACTTTCAGCCAGATTAAGAATTTGTATAAACAATTATCATCCAGTTGCTACAAAGCAAGTGGATGATTTAGATGATGTTATGTCTGACAGAATTGTTAGTAGCAAACTATATCATGAATGGTATGATATTGAACAATCTAAGTATACGATGGCAGAGTAGAAAAAGTAAAAAAAAAAGATTGCATGACAAAATTTACGCTATCTCTTACTGGAAAAAAGATGAATCTGATTCTGAAGCTGATAATTATTGCATGAAAAAATTCCAGCTGACCCTAGATGTTGTATCAGGAGAATTTTTTTTTTTTAATGTTAATGTGTATTATTTGTTTTTAATGTTAATATGTATTGTTTTCATAATTGAAAGGTAAGTGCAAATGTTAGAACTTGAAAAGTCTTAACATTTGAAAAGTATCGCAAATGTTGTGACTTATAAAATTGGTACAGAAGTGTTGTGACTTGCACAAATTATTGATAGACGGCTCTGACTTACCTTCTTGTGATGTCTATCGTTAAAAAATGAATAATATTTTGTTTCATTAGTGGAATTTCAAATTGTTTACTAAAAGCCAAGATACTAATTAATTACAATGGGTATTTTGTTTACACTAAATTACATAATTTTAAATATTTTATTTTTAAAACATTTTACATGTTTTTTTAGGTTAGATGTTAAAAAATCAAACAGCCTTTTGCCTAAGAATTTAAATACTCTTACACATTTTGTATTAAAAATTAAAGTGTTAAAATTTTTGTTTATTTTTAACAATATTTTTTAATTTAAAATTAAAAAAAATTTTTTAGATTGGAGGGGCTATTTCTCTTTCCTATGTGAAACTGGATAAACATTTGCTTTTTGTAAAGTGGTAAAATATCTGTTTATACTAATTTTTGACGTTTGAAAATGTAAACAAATTTTTCTTTTTTTAAATGACAAAAAAAATATTGGGGGGGGGGGGGCGGTTAGGCGAAAGCGGGCGCACGCCCTTACCTCTCAAGTAAAAGTATACCATACTAACAAGTTGTAATGTAGTAAAGTATTTTTTTTTTTTAAATTTGGAAGGAGATTGGGGGAGGGGCGGTGCTGCGCGGGTGTACGCCCCTCACCTTGACTCGAGTTATACACCACTAACCACTAGTTGTAAAGTACAACTAGTGGTTAGTAAAACTTAAATTTTATTTTTTGTTCTAGATTATTTAATTGGAGATAATATTATTTATAAAAAAGGAATTATTTTTGTTAATAATACGTGTTAAACAAGCACCACCACATCCACCCCTAACTCAAAGGTACACATCTCATATATGGTGGTGAGCTGGGATCTAAATATTGGAACTTCTATTTGATAAAAAAGACAATTTTCAGTATTAAAATACTTTTTTATGATAGAATATTAAATTTTTTGGTGGTAAAAGTCGTAGTTCGGGGCCCCCTCTAGCCGTCCACTCACGCCCTATGGCAAGATGCTACTATAAAATTGTAGCCCACTCTTACATCTTTCTTTTGATACCAAATTATAGAAATTTCAACAAGAATTTGCATAGTTATAACCATTTTCGATACAAAAAAAATTATTTTGACCACAGTTTCTTTAACAATTTCATATATTCAAAAGTTGTCACTAAGAACCTCATAACTTTTTTTTTAATTGTTCGATTTTGATAATTTTTTCACCGTTGAAATACTGTATTAATGCTCTTTTTAACGATATATAACAATATAATATTTTGTAAATTTAAAAATTTCATGTCACATACCTACTAGTAATAGCAAAATCCAAAGATTAGTATCATAAATTCCTATTTCTCAACATAAAACCGAAAAAAGAATATCTGAGATTAGTATTGATGTTGAACAGCAATTACTAAACGATTTAAAAAACTGTGAAGCATTTAGTTTAGCTGTAGATGAATCAACAGATATTCAAGACAAGCCTCAAATGGCTGTATTCGTTAGATATGTGATTCAGACGTAATTGTAAAAGAAGAAATACTAGATTTAGTTGAGTTGAAAGACACAACTCGTGGAGCTCCACGAGTTGTGTCTTGATATCAACTTGTTTCCTTGATATCAACTCCGGAGTTGATATCAAGGAAACCCTTGACAAAGCTCTGTTTAAAGCTAATGTACCTATCAACAAGTTTGTTAGTGTTGCTACAGATGGTGCATCAGCAATGGCTGGAAAACATTTAGGACTTATAGTCTTATTAAAAAGTGACCCTAAGTATCCAGAATTTATCCCAATTCGTTGTGTTGTTCATCGACAACATTTAGCTGCAAAACATTTTAATTTTCTGATTGTTTTTAAATCTGTTTTAAAAATTGTGAATTATATTCGAGCAAATGCAAAAAATCACAGACAGTTTAGAAACTTTATAAATGAATTGGATCTTGCTGATGAGCCAAGTGACGTGTCATTTTTCTGTTCTGTAAGATTTTCAAGTAGTGATGTTTTTTATAAATTTGTAGAGCCAATTAAATGTTTTTTGATTAAAAAAAGAAAAGACATTTGAAATCCTAGAAGATATAAATTTTGTGCAAGATCTTTTATTTTTGACTGATATAATGCAACATTTAAAAAGTCTGAATTTGTTTCTTCAGGGAAAAGAAAAAAATATATCTGATCTTGCACAAACAATATTTAGTTTTCAAAATAAAATTATTCTTTTTCAGAAAGATCTTAGCTTGAAAAAAATTAATCATTTTCCTCAAATGAAGGAGATGATTAATTTTAATCCTTTAATTCAGTATGATGACAATAAGATTGAATCATACTTGGACAAACTAAAGGATTTACAAAAAGACTTTCAAAAAAGGTTTAAAGATTTGCATGAACTAAAATCTTCTTTAGGATTTATAGTAAATCCTTTTTTAATTAATATTATTAGTAATGGCTGTCCAATTCCTGAAAAAATGCTTGAAGATATATCTCAATTTGAAATGGAACTACTAGATCTCCAAGAAGATCAAAATCTACTTATGCTGCATAAAACAATAACTTTTATGGAATTTTGGAAGATAGTTCCTAAGGTTAAATATCCTCAACTTAAAAAGATTGCCATAAAATTCATTTCAATTTTTGGTTCAACATATACATGTGAATCTTTATTCTCTACTATGAAATTTGTCAAATCAAAGTATCGTGCAAATCTAACCAGCGAGCATTTGTCTGAGTAACTTAGAACAGCCACTACATGTTTGAAACCAGATTTTAAGAAACTTACCAGTAAAGTTATGAGTATTAGTTTGATCAAAGTAAAAAATTGATAAAATGATGAAAAAGTTATTTCTTGATTGTAAAAATCAAGTAAAATAATCTAATTTTAGTGTTGTTTTTTAATTATTATTTCATTGATATAAGCATTGTTATAATTTTGTTAATTAAAAAAAAGTTTATGATCAGCATGTGCTTGTGCAAAAATCTATCATAAAAAAGATCAGTGTGTTGCACAGCACATGGCCAGTGTGTTGCACAGCACCTAATCGTGTGCTGTGCAAAATCAGTGTGATCATGTTGTTGTTTTTATATGAAACCAAGAAAATGGGCTAGTACTAGAAGTTTTTTATTTTTTGGGTAGTTTTTTTTACTTATCTAGTACAAAAGTCTCTTAAAATTCAGATAATCAAAAGAAAAAGTATAAAAGTTTCTTATATAAAAAAACAAACATGAAGTTGTTGCGGCTCTTCGGCTCACGTAAGTATATAAATGCGGCTCTTGTGACCTCTGGCCAGCGCTGACCTAGATTAGCAATTAAAAACACTGATATATTGATTTAAAAAATAGTGATCAAGAATTTTCGATTTAATATATTCCCAATTAACTGCTTTAGAACTAAAAAATAAAACTTTATTGCTTGAAAAACTGTCTGTTAAAACACTTTAAGTTAGACTTGAAAATACTTAGACTTACAATGTTGCATGTCAGCGCAAAAACAATCGCCTATGCGTGTTATGGTTAAGAAAAAAATTGCATTTTCTGATAGACATAAACATTGGGACAAAAAATTTTTCATTTATAAGTAGACTAAATGCAAGTGCGTCACCCTCGTGGTTCTGACCAATTAAATTAGAGTTTTTGTCAATATTAACATAAATTTTGAAGTCAATATTAGCATGGATTTTGAAGTACGTCTGGTTGCTGTACACTGGTGCTTTAAATGTTTTTAAAGCACCAGTGTACAGCAACCAGACGTACTTCAAATCCATGCTAATATTGACAAAAACTCTAAATATTTGCGCGTTATAAATACAGAAGTTTACTTCAAAAGTTTGCAAAATATTTGCGTCAACTGTACGCATGCAACGCAAATTTCCCTCCATTAAAACGCGTAAAAAAAATTTCTAAAATGTGCTAATAAATTCTGAAATATGCTTATAAATGTTTCTATCAAAAATAAACCCAACAACTGCAATATTAACAACAATAAGTTCAAAAACAACATCAAAATGCCTGTTTATATATCACTATTTCCAGTATTTCTTTCTCTTTTGAATGATAAACTATGTTCAAGATTTATGCTTTCGGACAATGAGCGTACTCTACCTTGCATTAGACTTAAACGGCATTTCAAAAATGCCCGAAATATATGACAAAAATCTGGGTTTCGGTATCCGTAAACAAAGAAATTCATCATACTGTTACTGTAATGCAACATTTGAGAGATGTTGGTTAACCATAACGGTAGCATACTACAATAAAAATCTTTGCAAAATAGGTGAACCGTGGTTAAAATAAAGGAAGGACTCCAACAAATAAGAAACAATCCAATTACTACAGATATAGTCATGGCAACTCGTAGTTTAGTTTTTTCGTCTTGATTACTATTATCTTTCATCATCCGAATTGCGCAAAATATAATAAGAATATAAAAATATAATAAGTAAGAAATAACAATTATAAATAGAGGAAAAATATAAGCAAATACCAATAAAAAAGCAATATACCATCTTATATTTTGAAATGATATAAAAAATTGTGCCACTGAGAAAACAATTCCAATAAACCATGTAAATGCAATTACAATAAAAACCAAAGCTGATGACAAGTTAAAATGACGAATTGGAAATTTAACAGCAAACATTCGTTCTAAACTGATGGCAGTCAGACTAAATATTGATGTAATTCCAAAGAGAACATTCGTCGTATTAAAGAAATATACTGTATTTCTATTGATAATATTGTAGTCTAAACCAAAAAATTATATATATATATATATATATATATATATATATATATATATATATATATATATATATATATATATATATATATATATATACATATATATATATATATATATATATATATATATATATATATATATATATATATATATATATATATATATATATATATATATACATATATATATATATATATATATATATATATATATATATATATATATATATATATATATATATATATATATATATATATATATATATATATATATATATATATATATATATATATATATATATATATATATATATATATATTGAGTTTAAAAAACAAACATTATTCTTATTATAATTTATTCAAAAACTGTTTTAAAAATTGATGCTAATAAATAAATCAAGCTTAATCTATTTTGCACCTACCAATGTTAAATGCAATCCAGAAAGGCAGCGGCAAAATTGAAACCATTAAATCAGCCACAGCCAGATTAACAACAAAGTAGTTGGTTAATGTCCTTAAAGATTTAGGACCAAATATGAATGCAAGTATAATCATACAGTTACCAGTTAAAGCACAAACGTCAATTGATATTAAAATGATCACTTCAAATATTTCCAACGTTGATTTTGACATCTTAGATAACGCCCTCAAATAATCCTTCTCTGAAAAGTATTTGCCCGCATTAACACCAACTCAGAGAGATTTCAATGGAATATTTATTGATGTTTGTAAATACTTTCTAAATATTTTTAAAATGGTAGAGCACAAAAAGACACTTTTTATGAAAAATTAAAAAAGTGTCAAAAATGTACAAAAATGCTTAAAAATCACTAAAAAAACATAAAATATTTTTGCAAAGAAATAATTTTAAAAAACTTTACGAAAAACCCATAATGGTACAAAAAAGATGTGAAAAAACAGGTTAGGCTTGGTTAGACTTAAAAACCATGAATATACTTTGCAGAACTGTTGATGACATTATTTTATTCCATTTTTTATTCCATTATTTTATTCCACAGGTAGATTTTTAATTAGTTTTTTTATTTGTATAAGATTTTCACCATTTTTTTAAAGTTAAGTTCAAATTCATATTACTAACAGTTTAAAGAAGTTGAAACTAAAAACAATGAGTTTTAAAACCAGCAAAATGAATTCTTTTAAATGAATTTTTATGTTCTCTTAAATATGTCCTGAAAATTTCAGAACTAAAGTTTTGCAGAAAATAAAAAAATAAGTATGAAATAAATGGAAAATAACATTTAAGAAGTAAAACCATGTTAAAATCCTAAAACATGAGCCTTGACGTTATTTTACTCTTAGAATTTTATCGAAGCCTTTTTTTTATTGTTCTTAGTTTTTTTCTCTGTTTTTTAACTGTATTATTTTTTATTTCTGTATAGTTCTAATTTTGTATAGTTCTGTATATCACTGTATAGTTTTTTGTTTCGTTTGTTTTATTTTCACATTGTCTGCTAAACTTGTTGTAGATTGTGTAACATTTCCTTGTATATCCAAATGCTGTAATATTTTTTAACACACCATTTCTACCATTATTATAATCATTGTCATTATTATTTTAGGGAACCTAGACCATACCAGTGAATTAAGCGCTTCATTTGAATTTTTTATTTGACTATGCATACATTTCAACAGTAATTCATCTTTTTGTAAGTCCATAAAAAAACAAAATTAGATTTTTGATTAGTTAGGAATAGATATATTTTATTTGTTAACTTTACTAATAGTCTAATATTTACACCAAGATAAATCTTAGGTGTAAATATTAGACTATAAGTAAATAGTCTAATATTTACACTTATCTAATATTATCACCAAGATTTTGCTTAGGATTTGAAGTATCTGTAAAATCAAAGACTATTGCAAAAACAGATTTCTTGATTGCATACATCTCTTTAAGACTATCTCTTTAAGATTATCTCTTTAAGTTATTTCTAATAGAACAACCAAAAAGGTGCTTTGAGTTAATTCCTTTTCCTGAGAGAAATGTTTTAGTGTGTTAATGAAGCTTAACAATGTTATACAGTCGAGTACCTTATCGTTTTTTAACATGAGTAGTGCATTCTAACTTTGCACTTAAAAATGTCAACTGCCCTAGCTGATTTCATCGAACCTGATGACCCATTATGGTTAATTTGGAAGTGATGAATAATTTTTCAATGTCTTATAAAATGATTATAAAATAATTTTTATAATCATTTGTGTTTTCTTTTGCAATAACACATCAATTGATGTTCAAACTCATAGAGTCTCTTTGGCAGTTTCAATATGAGTAGCTTTGATTGCTGCTGCATGCATTCAAGATTTCTTTTTTTTTTTTATTGATAAAACAAAATCAATTTTTGGAAGAACATTTAAAACTTATTAAAGGTGCAAATGTATTTATTGATGACTGCCAATTTCACAATAAGCTATTACAGAACGTACGTTTACCTTGGATGTATTTAGACCTTAACTTTCCTCATTTTTTATTTCTGCGGAGGCGTTAATTATTTTATTCCATGTACAAATGTTCCAGTTTATTGTTAGAACATAAGAGAATCCCCGTCTTTTTAAAATATATCACCTTTTACAACAGTGCAAAAACATTTTGGACATAAAGAGTTTGAAAAATGCTTTTGAGTAGATAAAAATGAACAATAATAAAATAGTCTTCTGTTTGTGGAGAAGAACTAAACAGAAAATTCAGTTTTTAAAGAAGTTTATTCTTTCACTTGAACATTGAGAGAACAAGAAGCCGAAAGCTCAATCTGAACAAGGCACAGCTGTTTCAGAGTGAGCTTTACGGCTTCTTGTTGTTTATTTTTGAAAATAATGACTTTAAAGGTGTTACTAAAACATTTATAACTTTTGAAATATTACAGATAATTTTATTTTGTAAAAGGAATAAAAACAACAATAAATTATTTTATCATACGACATTTAATACAATAGTAAAAAAACTTCTTTTAGTTTATAAAAAAAGCGACAAATGACAAACTTGGCTAAATTTTAGTAACTCGTTGTTACTTTTTATCAACAACAAAAAATCAGAAAAATATATTTCTGATAGTTATTATCAAATACACTCATTGTTTGACTATTATTAAATAAAAAAAAAACCTTACTTTATTGTTAAAGGTTAACTAAAACAGTCTTTATTGAAGCCTGCAAGCAAACCGCACTTTTTGCAAAATTATGAATAGTGTTGTTAAAAGGGGGATTAGCTGTTAAACGATTACTGAGAACGATAGTTTTTAAATCTAGAAGCTTTTGTTTTATGAAATAATTCGATAAGTTGATAAATTCAATGCATTAGAAAATAAAGCCAGATTTCGATTTTGAAATATTTAGTCTTATCATTTTAAGTTAAAGCCTTTAAATATCCTAAGCAATTTGTTTATTTCTATGCATACAGTTTTAATAATATGGTGTTAGAATGTTAATAAATAAAGACTCGCAAAGTCTAATAAAATAATTCATGACTAAAACTGAATTAAAGTTTTTGAATTAACCTCGCTTTTGGTAATAGAATTAATTATGGCTTTATAATCAATCTCTTCTTACATTTGTTTAAATATACAAATGGCTAATTTAAATTATTTGATAATATGTTTATGTATGTATGTATATATATATATATATATATATATATATATATATATATATATATATATATATATATATATATATATATATATATATATATATATATATATATATATATATATAATATATATATATATATATATATATATATATATATATATATATATATATATATATATATATATATATATATATATATATATATATACATAAACATATTATCAAATAATTTATATAATATATATAATATATATATATATATATATATATATATATATATATATATATATATATATATATATATATATATATATATATATATATTTATATATATATATATTTATATATATATATATATTTATATATATATATATATATATAAACCACTGTTTTATAATGAGTTGATCCACTAATAAGTTCTTTAAGTAGAAAACGATCTTTGTACACTCAGTTGATAATAGATATATGCACCATTCTAAAGAAAAAACCGCTATTCTAAAGAAAAAACTTTATTTTATACTTCAAAATTTGTTTCGCTAAGTTGTTTTCATAAAATTCATTACATATTTGCTTGGGACGTACAGAATTTAAGGTCACGTGATTGTTTTGAAATGTAAACAATGTTTTGCGCATTAAACTAGAAAAATTTGATTCTTAACTAGCCAAGTTTGAAAACATATTTTATAACATAGCTTGAGGTACAGAAAACAATTTTTTGATTTTTATATGCAGGGAGGGTTGAAATTTTAATAATTTTGGTTTTACAAAAATAATACGATTTTCATTATTTAATAATAAAATTAAAAATATAAACGCATTAAAAAATAAATAAAAAATAAAAAAATTAATTATGCCAGTTCTGGGGGAGAAAAATAAACCAATAATAAACGATGCTACTTCAAAAAACGGTTATTTTCATAGCTACATTTTTTAAAGAACATTATAGCAGCTGAACATTTGTTAATTTGTAAGAGTGCTTAAGGATAGTAAGATTAAAGAAATTAAGTTAAAATTTTTTTTTTATCAGTTTATAACTAGATACATTTAATTCATCATTATATGATGCTTACATGTATATTAAATAATGTATTTTTTTTAGATGCTTGTCTACCTTTGCACGCAGCAAATACATTGATAGTCAATAAGTCAAGAAGTCAAAAAGATAACGTTGTTTAAGTGTTTTACAAGGTTATATTTTTTTATAGTATATTTGTAATATTGTCAGTTATTGTTACCTGTTTAAATTTTTCTAAATTTATCTTTCCTAAAATAACTTTTATTTATTGTTATCATTTGTAATTTCAAAGCAGTAAAGTCATATATTTTTATTTTGCACTATATTTTTAAGGCAATATCACAATTATTTTATTTTGTAATGCTTAATTCTTTTTTTAATGCTAATACGCTCTAAAAAATCTGTTAAAAATGTTAACGGAGATCTCCGTTTACAGTAACTTCGTAACAGATATGGATTAAGTTGTTAAGAAATGAGAGAATAAAACAATGGATTACTCCTTTTCATGGCGATCTGTTTTCCGATATTTAACAATAGTTGGTGGAAGTGCAATTCTGATTAATTGCGATTTTTTTTCAGTTCTGTTTACTAAAAAAAAATAACTCGCTGGTTTTTTATTTTATTTTAATTTGGTTTCCTGTTTTATTTTTTGTAACAATTAGTGTACGTTGTAGCTGAAAAAAGAATGTCAATATCATCTTTTTACTTCGATTTATAGAACATTAAAGTTGTGTATCCGCTCGGGATATTCTTGTATCCGCTCGGGATATTTTATTTAAAAAAATTAATTTAACTCCTTAAGTTTAGAGAAAATCAAAATTTTTTCAAGGATTACATTACTAAGCACTTATATTTATAATTTATCATTACATTCATATTTTTGTAATAAAATAATTGTTTTTGTCATATTTCTGTTCTGTGTTATACCGCGTTGAAAGCGAGAGAAGTATTTACTACCTTATATACTTTACTATCGTAAATACTAAAAATAAAAAGGTTTATTTTAACGTATATCTTTTGAACTCTTGATTTTAAACTTATTTTACTATTTAAACAAGGAATGAATAGGAATATTAAACTTTGGTGAAAAAGTTGACGATTATATTCATTATGGTAAAGTATCCTAATTCCATTAAATTCATTAAATACTTTATTAAATTAGGGGAGAACTCAGCTTCACAGTTATTGGAAAAAATCCAAAAGCGGCATTAACTCCGTTTTTGTAAAAATCTGATAAAGCAAGATTGTTGTAAACGGCTGACACTTTAATTTTTTTTTTTAAAAAAAAAAAGGTCTAACCATTTGACGCTTCCCCGCAGCTGTGCAAACTTGTCATTAAAAAATCTTTTAGAAAAAAAACGAAAATTTTTAAGTTGTATCACAAACCAGTTTTTGCTATTGTACACCAATCAATTAATAGTAATTTATTATTATTAATTTCAAAAAATGAATATTAACAAGTTATAATACAACTAATAGTATATTAATCAAGCTTTCAGAGTATAATGTAAAATATTTTATTACGTCGCGTTTCTTGCCTTAAAAATCCAGGGATATGCTGGAATATTGATTTAATTCACATTACTTACAAAATAAAAAAACATGTATCCTACAATAAATATTCTTCTCATGGCAAACCTTTATACTACGTTTAATCTTCTGTACATACTCGATTTAGAAGAGCATGTAAATATATTTGGAACTAAAGTAGGTTACACTAATTTGTATAGTATACTAGTTTGTGTAGTATATTCAGAGCAATCCAGAGGTATTTTGAGCAATTTGTAAGAAAATATATATATATATATATATATATATATATATATATATATATATATATATATATATATATATATATATATATATATATTATATATATAACATTAATATGTATACATATATATATATATATATATATATATATATATATATATATATATATATATATATATATATATATATATATATATATATATATATATATATATATACATATTAATGTTATATATTAATGTTATATATATAACTATATATAAAAAATATTATTTCATTTAAACATTGAAACCCAAATAAGTTAAACCAACATCACGCGTTGTCCATCAAACAGCAAATGTTTTATTCAACACCACCATCTGCCTTAAAAATACTTTAGGGAACCTCATAAAAATGTTTGCCCGAAGTATAAGGGTTCATTAAGGGATGGCCCTATTGCGACAACAAAAAAACCCCACTCGCTGCAAATCAAAAGATGAGTATTATAGCTCTTTTTGAAAATATTTTTATTAATAAAATTTTAAAAACATCATTTCAATAATTTATATTATCATTTATTAAAATTTATATTAAAAGTATTCATGTAAACATTTATTAAAAACATGATATTAATATTTATTTAAAAAAATCTTTCAATTTTTTGTGGAGGATCGTTTTCACCATCCTTTTCAATCCCCTTCAAACTATTGCTATTTTTCTCTTCATCGATTGAAACATCAGTCATTTACATACCTCACCACAATTGACCGCAATAGCGATCTCTTGCATTGTTTAAAAATGGAGCCACATTTGATTCAATTTCTTTTGTCGCGTCGTTGATAAGGGAAAAAGTTGATACTATAAATATAATAAAATAATCACTTAATATTAATTGAGTTCACACATATAAGAGATTGTATTATAGATTCATATAGAAAATATAAATATCTGCATATAAACAACTTATAATCTAAGTAAACAAGTTAAAGTTGCCTCCAACCATTATCACATCGTTGTAACGTTGCTTTTCTTTCTCTTTTCTAAAAAAACTATAACAGGCGCTGCTCTAAAGAGCTAGCGTCACTTCTTCAATCTACTTAAACTCATTCTTTTGTTACTCATCATTTAATTAAGTCTCATCATATAGCTTTGACTGTTCATAAAGACTCCAAAAATTTTTTTTTGTGTAGTTTTTTTACTTAAACATATGTTCTTTAGATTTCTCTCCCTCCATCTTGTTTTCCTGGTTCATATAATTTGCAATCTGTCAATCAAGTCATCTGTGAGTCGTTATCTTTCTTCATAAACTTTATCTTGGCTCTTCCAGTAACTTCCAACTAGAGCCCTGCGAATTACCTTTTAAATCCCCATTTGGGGATTTAAAAGGTAATTTGTGTTGACTCCCAAATCGAGTCGAATCTCAAAACAAATAAGCTTTTTGAGGATATCTATATTTTAGTTAAACTTAGATTTCCTCAAATTGGTAATTGGACTCGTGATTCAATTCAATTTGCAAATCAAGAATTGCTTCGAATCGTAATTCGATTTGAAACTAAAAATTGTGATTCGCAGGGCCCTACTTCCAACTCTAATAGTGGTTGCTTGCAACTTTGTTGGAAACGAAGATTAAACAAGTAGCTTTTATAATAAGTAAAAAAAATTGTTAACATCTCTATATATTTAAAAATTTTTTTTGAAGTATATAGAATTTTTTTTGGTTACTTATTTTTTTCGCCTTAAAATCAAAACTTTTGTTGTTGCTGCTTAATCAAGCACTATGAGTATGAGCAGACAGTTAGATCGACTCCTATTTATACAAAAATGTTCACAGTAGATCTGAATTAAACATTTTTGAGCAGTTTTTCCAGGTCTGATGTGTTTGCCACGACTTCCAGTTCTATTATTATTTTGCTGCAGTTCAAGTACCAGCAATTTGTTTAAGAACTGAGAAACATGGACATAGATATCCTTCCTCCAAGCTTCATTTATAAATATTTTATTTTATACATATCGTAATCTTTTGCCAAAAGGTGTTCTTCTTGACAATTGCACAAATCATGGCTATACTCACATAACCAGAATGTACACATCATATTTGCAGCAAAGAGGTAAAAAAAAATTCTTTGTAGCAATTATGATAATGATAATACATTCCAATCAACAAACAACACGAACCTATAATCTTTAACTGTCTTATTCAAGATTATAATTGATTGAAGAATTTATGCAGAATAATTCATAAGATGAATAAAAACTCTCCGTTCATGATAGTTACAATATAAGTCACAAAAACAAAAAAAAATCATAAACTATGATTTTTAATTTTTTTACATCAATAAATAACATTATATAAACTAAAAATATTCATTGCAGCCAGACTAAAAAAAAAGCACAAATAATAAAATAAAAAAAAAATAAAAATATTGCAAATATTAAAATAAGAAATTTAATAATTAAAGTGTTAACTAATATAACATTTATTTTATAAGTTGAAATTATCAAAGAGAAACACAAAAACAATGAAATAAATAATTAAAAACTTGAAAATTCGTATTAAATTTTTTGTTTTTTAATTACAGCAGAACTATGTGTTAATAAAAAAACATTACATTCATTTAATAATGTTTGAACACTTTTTTCAATTGAACTCTAAAAGTGTAAAAACTTTTTGCATTTGTGAATAATAACACGTCATCGGCATAAATAAAAAAATTGTAAGGTGTTGAGTTTTTTAAAAGGGAAGCAGTGAGGGTAATCCTGGGTTTGTGACAAATAACTCGCCCACATTGTGACTGTACAATACAATGTTTTGATTGAAATACATTTATAGAAGATTTTTAGTTGTGACTTGGATTGACCAACACATTTCTATGAAACACGATGCTTTGATTGAAATGCATTTATTGAAGATCTTTACATCAGTTACAATCATATTAAACAGAAAAACTCTACCTTTAATGAATAAACTAGTAAGGTAATTTCCTTATTGCTTCTGGATTTCTGTTATTATTTAAATCCAGAAGCAATATGGGTGCCAATAATAAAATGGAGCTATACTATACCTTGAATATATTAACATAAAAACTAGTACACTATAATGTAGTCTATACTACTATATAAAAATTATTGTGGGATTTATTGGAGAATTTTTTTTGGTAGATATCTACAAAAAAATACACGAAAAAAAAGCTAACCAGTTACTGAATAAAAGCGATTGCTCATTTTTATTCCCCCGGCCTAATATACTTATATCTTACTAAAATGTATTACAAAAAAGAATTTTACAAAACAAATGAAAATGATTTCAATAAATACTTAACAAATACTTTACAAAAATATTTTTATAAAGCGAAATATCAATCTGAAACTTGGCTAAGAGTCCATATATATTTATTTGTAACTGGCTTTTGCATTGGATTAT